GGCCAGCACCATGGAGCCCACAGCCATGCTCCAGGTGTCTTCGCAGAAGTCACACTTTGAGCAGCAGTGAAGCCACAGCACTGCTACTGTCTCACAGTTGGCAGAGGATGTTGCGGTTTCTGTAGCATGTGAAGCGCATGCAACCGACATACCAGCTCAAAACCATCAGACCCGAAAGGAGATTCAGTGCTTTCACATATCTCAGCCACAAGTCTCTCAGGTCCTCATTTAGTGTTTACTTTGCCATATCTCTGTAGATTCATGCATGTATTTTGGCAGGTTGTGGTGTGGATCTAATGAATGGGTAAGACAGACAGGCACAATAGCAGCGATGTTTTTTTTAACAAAAAACCCTAAATAAAATAGATAATCCCTGTAGAAGAAAAAAAATATCTCTGAATGACCTCCTTATATCTTAGCTCTAGACAGAAAAATAACTAATAGGGTTTGGGTCAATCAGGAATGCATTCATCAATTCCAATCCAAATCAGGAAAGCTCACAATTCTGCAGGGTCAGAGAGACAGGGCGTCTGCGTTTCCATACAGCTTCTTGGGGCGATGCTGAACCTCGAAGTGTGGAGTTTGGTAGAAGAGAAATTAAACTGCTACATTAAACTGCTCACTACATAGTCTGTGGATTATCTTAAGTAACCGGGTCATGATTTCTGGTCAGAGAAATGGAGTTTTTTTTTGACATTTTAATCACCACAGAAAGAATGCCATTCAGTCCCATTATATTAAAGTCTGACATTTCTATGGCCAATATCTCCAAAACTAGGCAACTGCCAGCAGAATAACGTAGATGGGTAGATAGTAGTTAAGCCGCTCTAAAACACATCTATTTTCAGTTTTGGGGTGAACTGCCCCTTTTAGACACTGTCTTTCTTGAAAACATATAAATGTGATGTTGCTTCCTTGTAAGAAAGTACAATTGTGAGTAACAATAGGGAAATTAAGTAACATTTCCCAAAAATGCCAAAAATATTTTTTAATAATATGATTTAGTGCATGTGTTCCTCTTTTCAATTTATTAGGAAGTTCATTATTTCACCCCAGGCCAGCCTGTATTTCTCTATGAATTGTTCATTACTGAGACGGTCCAAGGGGTTCATACCCGCCCACAAAACAACATTAATATAAGCAACTTGGCTTCCTGGACAGCACAGTCTCAAATGCCATTTCCGATTGAGTTGCACAATTCTCTGCCACTGGTGGTTGAGAGGGGTGAGTCAACCTTCCCAATTTAAAGGATGTTAGTTAACATATTGCAAGTTTGACTGGTTAGATTATTGTGCACTAGGGTTGTTCAGAATTTTTGAATTGTGCCCCATTCATGAACTGGAATTTGAATTGGCTACCGTGTAAAATGTTGAATTACAATTCAAATTTGAATGCCAGGAAGAGGAAATAAATTCATTTCAATTCAAAGAAATTCAGTGAAATTACACAACACAGAAGTGTCATTTAATCAAGCAAAACATAAATTATTATATAATAGATTTACTTTCTAGATGTATTGGCTTTATATACACTATATGGGCAATAGTTCTTGGGTCACCTGGCCATTACATCTACATGACATTTTATGACGTCCCATTCTAAATCCATGGGCATCAATATGGAGCTGCCCCCCCCCCCCCCCCTTTGCAGCTATAACAGCTGCCACTCTTCTGGCCGTTCTCCTGGCATCTCTCAAACCCAGACTCATCCATCAGACTGTCAGACAGAGGAGTGTGATTTGTCATTCTACAGAACATGTTCCTACTGCACCAGTGTCCAGTGGAGGTGTGCTTTGCACCACTCCGTCTGACACTTGGCATTGCTCTTGGTGATGTGAAGCTTGCATGTATTTTTCAGTCCCGCTCCTGCCCACTACCGCAAGATTCTGTCCCGCTCCCGCAAAAAAATATATATTATTTTCTCCCGCTCCCGCCCGCAGTATTCAAATTTTGTCCCGCTCCCGCCCGCAAAATCCCGTAGGTAAACATATAAGTAGTTTTATTCTTACCGCTTCTTCCCGCTACTCTGTTATTTGTTTCACCTGCTTCCCTTTTGAGCATATATATATAAAAAAGAAACGGAAAATAAACAAATAGGTTTCGTTTAATTAAATGGAATGATGAACATGGACACGAACGAGGAGCTTTTCAGAACATGCCATCCCGTCCAAGCACCAGGCTGATTCCTTCTTGGGGTGTCCGGTTACGTCCCTCGGCATTCAGAGCGCGGCAATTGTAGTTTCTGTAGACGATTCGCCTGTAAATTGTTATTATTTTTATTTAGTCGTTCTTGTTGCTTTTGTGCAGTAGATAAATAATAGAGTATTTGTTTTTAATAAATTAATTTTAAGATAATTCCTTTTTGTGGTAGTCCTGCGATTAATTCTATTCTCCCGCAACCCGCACATACTGTACATGAGGACCTTACCGCCCGCACCTGCATTCACCCATCAAATCTTGTCCCGCGGGAGTGCAGGTCTCTACTTGCATGCATGAAGCTCCCAGCGCACAGTTTGTGTGCTGGAGTTAATGCCAAAGGGAGTTTGAAACTCTAACACTCTGCAAGTGTTGGTGACTTTTACACATTATGCGCCTCAGCACTCGCTGTCCCCACTTTGTGGCTGTTTCTGTTGTTCCTAAACGTTTCCACTTTGCAATAATACAACTTACATTTGACTGTGGAATATCTAGAAGGGAAGAAATTTCACAAACTGACTTATTGCAAAGGCAGCATCCTATGACAGTACCACACTTGAATTCACTGAGCTCTGCAGAATAACCCAGTCTTTCACAAATGTTTGTAAACCTGACTGCATGGCTACATGCTTGATTTTCTGTGGCAATGGATCTGAATGAAACACATGAATTCAATGATTAAGAGGTGTCCCGATACTTTTATCCATATCATGTGTGTACTAGTGAGTGAAGTATATTTTTATTTGCTTGATTGTAAGATAAAAATTGTGTAATTCTATTAGCCTTTTCTAACAATATGCATTTGGTTTTTGTCGGCCCTCTATTACTTTTCCATGGCCATGAACAAATATTTGTTTCCTGGGAAACTGTCATCATATATGGTGCTATTAAATGAACTAATTACCAATGTAGATATGAGCATGCAAATATGTGTGCTTGGTGGGTATGTTGGGGAGTTGAGGGCAGGGCAGAGAAACAGAATAAAAGCTGCTCACAACAAGCACAGAGATCACGAAGTCTGACAGGAAGGTTTCCAGCTGCCAGTGTCTGCAAGCATTTCAGCTGATTATTTCATCATCGGGTAAGTATGGAACTTTACATGGTGTATTTCTCAGAATATTTTACATGATCACAGTAACAGGTATGTAAGAGACACATGTCTAATATTTAATAAGTACATTGTAAAAAAAAATTCAATATAAAAAACGGTAAAATGACTGGCAGCGGCGGCTGCCAAACAAAAACTGTAAAATTACAGTAAAATGTTTTATTTCAAATGAAGTGCAAAAACATTAAATTTACAAAAAATGTCCGTTATTCTTTTACATAAAAACACTTATTTTACAGTTTTTCTTAATATTATTATGATCAAATACCTTAATGAAAAGGGCAATTCCAAAAGTTCAACAAATAAATACTGTTAATTTACAGTTTTTCTTAATATTATTGTGATCAAATACCTTAAAAGGGCAGTGCCAAAAGTTCAATAGTTAAATATTGCTATTTTACAGATATCTCCTAAATTCTTGCAACAAATCACCTTCAATAAAATGACCACACCGGAAGTTCAGCAGAGAAATACATTTATTTTACAGGTTTTTTTTTTTTTTTTTTACAAATATATTATCAAGCACCTTCAATAAAGCAAAAAAAATATCTGTAAATATCAGATGACTGGCAGCAATGGCACTAAATACTAGAGGTGTAACGATACGCGTATTCGTATTGAACCGTTCGGTACGAGGCTTTGTTGTCTATTTCAGTTCATAACTCGCTGAAATCTTATTATAGAAACATGAAAAAAACGCTGACTAAATCCGTAATCGGTCTTCTTTACAAAACGTCCATTGTCAGAAGTACTAAAGTTTTTTAAATTACTGTAGGTGAAATCGGCAAGAAAGTAAACCATGTCTTCTTACTTTGTTTTACCTGCATCGGGGGCGTGTAGTACCGCTCTCACCCGAAGATCGCTATTCACATTCTTAAATAGCCGCATTAGCGCGTATTCAAATTGCATTCGCATGGTAATTTAATTAACAGCGCAACGGTGAAACGCGATCCAGAAACATTCCAGTCAGAGCCATAAAAGGGGGGGAGGGGCGTGGCCAGGTGACAATGGCTCATTCATACACATGAAAGTTGCTACATATTCAATGAAAGGAGCCAGAAATAGTGACATGAGTTCGGTTTTTCTTATTTATTTATCCAACTGAATGTTGCAACTACACCATTTAGTCATCTTCATGTAGCCAAGACTTTGTTGATCAGATATCTTGGATCAAAACAAACTGCCAGCATTGCTTACTATGTACTTTTAATATGTGTCTGCAATTATTCCAAGCTGCATTTTGCAATGTCTATACTTTGATGTCAAATTACAAACTTAACACAAATCTGACATATTTACAAAGTACACTAAGATAAAGATGAGTTTAATGCAAAAACAAATATATAAGAAATAATTTATTTGCCATGAATTAAGTTTATGGTATTGAATGAAATGTGTGATCATGTCCCAGTCAGTGAAAGTGTGTTCCCTACCCCTAGATTCCAGAGGGTTATATTTGAAAAAAACAAAAGAGAATAAAGTGTGTAAAATATAATGTTTTCAGTGCTGCTACGCTCAACAAGGCAGCCCAAACGACGTGACAGGCAACGTGCTGACTGCCCCTCCCACCCCAAACACTACTCCAGTCAGTCAGGCATTTGCTGCACTAGCTCGTTGCAAAATGGCTAGTAACGTTAATGCAAGTATCAGACCAGAAATAGAGGATCCTCCTATAACCAACAGGTCTGGAGTTTGGGAGCACTTTGTTTTCCCTGTAAGTTATGAGGGTGATGGCAAGAGATTAGTGGATAAAATGTGGACACACTCATCTTTCTGGAAAAAAAACTTAAAAATTGATTGAAACTGAGTTCGATATAAAAACAAAATTGTTCTTTTCTTTCTATTAGTTTATAACTACTACAAAATTAAATTAATTTTTTTTTATCAGGAGCTTTTTGGTTTTGGTTATAAAGGAGGTTTTGTTTTATTTGCTGCTAAAAAGAAACCTCAGAAGATGGGTGAAGAATAGCTTCATCATTGTTTAAAGTAAAAGAAAAAAACAAGATCATACTTTTTTGGTTTTAATAAATAAAAAAGTGAAAAAAATCAATGAAATTATCTGGCATTTTTTTTTTTTTTTGCTGTATCGAAAACATACCGAACCGTGACACTACTGTGTCAAATTGAACCGAACCGTGATTTTTGTGAACCGTTACACCCCTACTAAATACAATGCAAAGATTCAGTTTTGTAGAATTAGGCCTACAGTATGGTATAGACCTATAGTTTTTAAACTGGTGATCAAGTGTGGGAGTGGTTGGGAGGGTCCACTGCAAATGCCTCCCACAACATTATTCAAAGTTTAAAAGTTTAAAGTTTGCTTCTTACCTCCCTGTCAGTTGGACCACCAAAATGCAATACAAATCCGGGACAATGTTGCAGAGGTGTGGCTTGCACAATTGTTTTTTTAATAATGTTGCAAGCCCTCCTGACCAAACATACAGTGAAATCGTGA